AGGGTTAAAAATAGAAAGTGCTATCCACTGGTTTGCTCTGATGTTCCTGTAGATATTGTCACTGGATGTATCCTCAGTAGAATTCTATTCAACACCTCTGTCTTTAAGTACAAAGCTGTAGGCTGTAGCAGCTTTAGGAAACATAAGTATCCTTTTTTCTGCTGCACAGTATCTGTGTGTGAAATTCTCTAAAGGGGTTTAAGTATTTACCCTGAACACTATCAGACAGTTTCTAAAATTTTCCTTATCCCGTTGCAAAAACACTTCAAAGAGAATCATAAACACAGTTCTTTGTGCTTTCAGCACACACTTCGTTTTGGAAGCTTAAGTCTGAATTCCCTCAGAATCGCAAATATTTTTTTTTCTGAAAGATGAACAATACAAATTTGCCCTTTTCTTTTTTTTTTTAAAGATTGGTAGTAATCCTACTACACATGATGCTGAGTACTTTCTCCCATTTCTGACAGCTGGGTCAAGGAAACTAGTGTTAAAAAAAAGAAGAAAAACAAGTGTTCAGGATCAGGTTTTGTTGTTGTTGTTAAGATAAAAGGTACACTTCCAGAAACATCTGACTCCTAGTGTACACAAAATATAACCTGCCAAAAATGCATTTATTTAAAGGGTCTGGACTAAACAGATAAGAAGAGCCCAAAAAGACAAAAAAATATGGCTAAAATTTGGGTCTTCGATTTGCCATGTTGTGCCTAAATTTCACAGCTCATTAAGCAAATACGATCACCCATCACCGTATGGCCCTCCAATAAAGGAGCGTGACACTCAATATCTTAGCACAAGGGGAAAGCTAAAAAAGAAATTAAAATAATACCTCAGAATTTCTTGAATTTCAGCTGACAGTGTTAAACCAATTCAAATGTCAGTTAAGTTGCTCCGTATTTTCTGAAAAAAGCTGAACAACCAACCAGCCTGTTTGTGATCCCATTATCTTTTTTTTAAACTATAATTGGTTAGCTGTTTAAAATGCCAACATCTACAAAAGCTAGGAGGACTCCTTTTAAAAGCTCATTTTCTCTTACAGCTTTTCAAGGTTATTCTGTAACTGAAATACTCCGATTTAAATACATATTTAAATCCTTATTTTAATTTGGGGGGGGAATATATATTATGGCCCTGGGCTGAGATTTTGTAGCTCAAGTTTCAGCCTCGACTCAATCTAACCATCAGGCTGTAAGCCCCTGACAATAGTGGCTTATAGCTGAAACTGAGACATACTTCGTACGTAGCACTAGTAGCAAATAATGAAATAGACCTCAAAAAGGAGAGAAAAATAATTTTACAAGAAAATAGCCTTGCTCTCTGATTTCAATTTAGTTGTATAACAGATAAAAGCATGCTATTGACACTGACAGTAACAACGTGACTAGTAAATACAGTTTTTAAAAAGTCTTACAAATCAAGATGAAAGTACCGCAGAAAGATATCGGTTTGCATGAAAAGTCACTCTGCCCATTACGACTACACAAAGTGTGCACACTTCTGCTTTTACACTACATGTACAAATTAAAAGGTGTGCTGCACTTCAGGATGCCAAAAAGTGAAACAAATAGTATAACAATTACCTGTGTTTCAGTTATACCATTAAAAATCCGTTCTTCCAGAGCTGTATTTCATTCCTTTAAGTAGACCCTTTATAGTAAGCAAACAGTTTTGCTGTTAAATATAACTCCAAATCAGTCATACTTTTAAAAACCTGCATAAATAGGTGGGATTAAATGGAGCCTAGCCTACCTAACATAATTATATATGTTGTGATTTTATACTGCAATGAAACTGATACATTTTAATAATCCCAGTCTTGGCTCTTACCCACTAAAGTCAATAAAGGTTATTAAGGCTAACTACCATATAAATACATTGCTACATTGCTAAATGGACTGTCAAAGCAGGGTACACAATTCACACCACATAGCACTACAAGGGTCTTCATTTATTTTCTTTCTTTTTAAAAGGAACACTATATGTGCTAAAAAAGTCTTTAAATAGTCAATATTTAAGTATAATCATATGTTCACTTTTCATTCCACAAACAAAAAAAACATTAAATTGATTTACATTTTACTTGTTCAAATGTGAATCAGCCTAAAACAAAATAAACAGAAAGAAAAGACTGTAGGACTTCTGCAGCTCTTACTGATATGGTGTGGTGCTAGAAGATTTTCATAGCTAAAATAAATGTCAGATCGCAAGGTTTGCATGATATCAGACCCTAAGAGACAAATTGTCTCTCCACTGAATCTCAGAACAGCTACAGCAAGACTTCCTCACATCACATGAGATTTCAGCTTTTCAGACTTCTCTTTACCCAGAAAGCAGTCTTTTTTCAAATGGTAGCTCTCTCTTTGAATTCAGCAAGCATTTATCCTGATGTTGCAGACGATAACATTATAATCTTGGATGACTTTTAAAAAAAAAAAAAAAACCCTCAAACATTTGAATAGCCTTCATATTTTCAAGGGAGGGGGGAAAAGAGAAGACGATTGGTTAAACTGCTTCGGATTTAATGGTTCATAAATTCATGAGGTAATATTGTGGGAAATGTGATGTTTTATCAGAATGTCATTCAAATGAAACGTTTAACATTTACATCACAAGAGCGAGCTCCAAGTAAAACTATCCTCAGGGAAAGAAATGCCAGGAATAAACATTATGATAAAATTGTGTGCTTTCTACAATGTATAAAAATATTAAATAAAGCCCAAAGGTCTGAAGATACTGGGTTAAACTTCCTGCAGTATGATACTTTTCTGCGACACTGGAGCAATTACAATTAGGAGAATCAGAAATTATTTTGTAAAACATTCTTTTCTTCTTTAAGACTGCATTACTAAACAAGAAGAAAAAAAAGGCACGTTAGGAATCTTTTGTATCACTCTAGACATACACATAAAAAAACATAATTCAAGAGTTGTTCAGCTCACACACAAATGTAAGAAGAACACGTTGCTTAAATACTCTCTTTTAAAAAATAACTCCTTTTAAGCAAGGATCCTCTACCAAGACAAGATCAACAGCTGTAAGACATTTTTAAATTTAACCATTTTGCCACTTTTTTTTTTTTAAGAATCATCCAGCTAAAATTACAAATTTGGAGAAAAAACATCGACTGTAGACTACTGGGTACTTTCAGAAATACCTTTCTGATTTAGCTTAATGCTGTGGAAGCTAAGCATGCACCAAAACACTGCACTTTTTATGTTAAATTGCTGTTGAATTTGTTAACCCACAATTGATTTCCTGTGTTATGGAATCTTAGAGATTACAGCTAACTTGAAGCAACAGGGATAATTCTTGATGTTAATGCTACATTTCTATGTATTTTTACTAAGCCAGTGCCTGTTGTTGCATTAAAACTGCGGCTCAACATTGCCCCCTACTGTCACCTTGTGAAACACTAAAGGACAAAACATGGGTGAAACCCCCCAAAACCCAACCTACCCTCCAAGTCCCAAAAAGCAGTAAGCATCAAATTTATTTAGAGACTCAACAAAACAGACACTCTCAATTAACATTCTCTTCTGTCTCCTTCAATAGCTGAAATTAATTTGGAAAAATATGTTATAAAAGTCATATAACATTAAAGCAATTTTAAAAATTTAAATTAGAAGCAGCTTCTGTCTTGGCCCAACCATCAGTTTGCTGATAAATATCATCCTGCAGCCTGTTGAAAGGAGATACACTGACGCCAACCATGTTTCTAATTAGAGACACATGGTAACGTCACACCAATTGCAGAAAACCTAACCCTTGAGAATTCCCCAGTTTGCTGGTTTTCCATGTTCGCAACACACAATGGATATAAAATAACAATCATTCTTGTCTCTACCTCATCTAAGCCTGTGTTACAAGAGAGAAAGTTGTCATTTGAAAGAAAAACAAACCAAAAGGTTTGTGTTAAATTACAGAGGTCATTCAAGAGTGTGAGTGCCTATGAACACAGAATTGAGGAAAGAGCCCCACATAAACAAGTTACAAATAATTTATCTCCTTTTGTAGGAAAGTTTAATGATCACTGATTCCTTGTGGCAACTGATTTCACAAATGAAAGCTCTACTTTTCCACACTTAATTTCCAAGCCTGAAACCAGCCCTTGCTGGAAAAGCTTACAAGACACTTGAGGTGGTTAGTGAGTCACACTTCCCTCAAAACTAAAGAGCATATTCTTGCCACACCATACCTCTCAAAAAATTCAAACACACCTCTACAAGTCACGTTCAGCATCCTCAGCTTCATTACAAACTTTTCCAAGTCAACACAAATTGAAGCTTATGCTGTGACCAGTGGAAATGACCAAGCAGTGGCTTCTAATGCAGATGTAAGGATATGAGAAAGACACATCTGCCAATACAGTTCCTTCTGCGTAAAAACCTAGAAGCTGGCATGCTGGCAATTGTACCAAACACTTCCACAAGCACAGTCTCCCAACTGAGTCTCTGCTGGGACAGCAACAGCATGCAGGTCAACGGCCTGTTCTCAAGGAAAGCAGGGATGTACTTTCACGTACACAGGAAGCGATATCACTACAATTATTCAAGAAACTACTCTCCTGTTGTTGGTTCTAGCTGCGGTGTAAGTGTGCAAGCGGACTACACAGAGAGAGTTGTTCCCCCAGATCATCGGAATTCGGTCTCAACTTTCCACTGTTGTCACTGGCAGAGTTGTCTATCTTGGCATCATACGAGAAAGTTGACAACGCACAGTTTCACGTGATATGACTGTCATCTTATGAGGCTGTCAAACTTCAAAAACAAGGAAAGTCAGGAAATAACTAAAATCTTGGTTTTTTGGATCTTATTTTGCTCACATTATTTCTGGCTACTATGGGAGAAAAATAAGAGGCGGCAGTGGAAGGCTGACATTGATTCTACTTTTCATATGTTCTGAATAAAGTTTAAATCCCATCACTACAGTACAATTAAAAACATAATTGTGAGCGCTCTCAGAATTAAGCTTTAGAGACTTCGGACTACAAAACTAGTACTTACCATAATCTCCATTTTTCTCCAAAATTCTTCCAGTTTAGCCATAGGCTTAAGCCACCAGTCGGTGCACTTCAAATACCGCTTGCCTTGAAACCAAAACTGCCTGAGCCACTCAAACTCAATCTGCAAGACAACAACATACGGGAGCGTCAGCATCGGCGTTGGCTCCTTGGGGCAGGAGCGGGGCAACATATGCGCCCAGCTGGGTTCCAGCAACCCCGCAGCGCCAGGGACGGTTACCAAAGGACTCATCTCCAAACGCATCCTTACACCCAGCTGCTTCTTTTATTTCTACTTCCACACGAATCTGTGCCCCGAGCTACTCCCTTCCAGCCTAGAGAGGCTCGAGCCCCACCTCACTTCCTCACACATGGAGGGAACGTTACAGGCCCAGGTTCGCTCGCACTGCAGACCAGGACACACCGCCTTCGGCTGGCTGTGACGGCCACCAGGTGTGCAAGGCCTCTGGCCCCCGAGGGGCGGACGAAGCCGGCAGCCCTGGAACCGCGGCTGGGCCAGGGAACAGGGAACGGGAGGGCAGCGCAATGGCAATCCATAGCCCTGGTCCTCAGAACTCAGTACCCATCTCTGTTGTGGCAGGTATGTTTCACGGCCAGTTCAAAGCTGCTTTAATCATTACTTATACCACAAAGAAGTTTTTGTTTATCCCTGCTGGGCTCTGATGATGCAAACAAAGACAACCTGCCAAGATGGAAGAATAAAGAAAACTGCCCAAAGCTGTCACCTAACACATCCCCTCCTGCAAGGGTGAACAGAATGGCTACCGAAACCTGCGAGTGTTTCAGCTAACATTAACTAAATGGTTGGTCAACGTATGTTAAAGATTCCAATAAAAGAAATGTAAATTTGACAACATGATTAGTTTGGCAGTCAGATCTTCAAACATTTTCAAGAAGCCTGACTGCTAGCCTAGTGGCTTTTTAGCACAGAAGTGCGATGATAACTTTCCTAAAAAAAAAAAAAAACCAAACAAAAAACACACACACCACTAAAAAACAACCTGAAGGACAGTTTGCTTCCTCTACAGCATCAATGAGGTATGAAGGATCACGTTATGGTTTGTTAAAATTATCTGTACACACAGTTTTGGGAAGGTTGAGCATATCAGCAGTTCAGCTAGACTTTTATGCACTCAATACTCCTTCCTCCCTACATTTCTTTCTCGTTTTGCTGGCCTCTACCATGAAAGGGCTGTAACACATGATGTCTGGCAAACATGTTTCAGGAAATGAATCACATGAGGCCATTAATCAATGAAATTTTTTTTTAAATTAAAATCAATGTTACAATATGGCTCATTACAACAAGAATCTATTTCAGTCAATCTGATTTTTGACTACTCACATTGATTTGTTACATTAATCTATGCAATTTCAGTCCAGTTCAAGTCTGGCATCCTGCTCAAATTTTAAATGTACCTCAATCCTACACAGAATATACAACTTGACACAGAAGAGCTGCTTTTTAGGTGCAAGAGGTAAAGTTTAGCACCGGCCTATTTAATTTTCCGCAGGGTTAGCTGGTCTCATCAGAGGTCAGTGTACCAATCACAACATGTGGCTGTTTAACGAAGTGGACAACCGCTTACTATGGCTCTCAAACTCAGGTCCGCATTCATCTCACAGTGTCTCCGTTGAGCTCTAAAATGAGTTAATAACCGGGGGTTTCAGGAGAAAAACAGTTTCACCCGCCAACTAAGCCATCAAGCTGCTTGACAAGCGGCTGCTTTGAACTATATCACCTCTGAACAGACAACTGTTGATTCTGAAAATACAAAAAAAGTCATCTTGATGGGGCAACGGTGGCATGATTTCTCTGTCACTCCATCCTTATTTTAGACCTATGCAAGCATAAATACTTAGTTTTGCTAAAAACCTCCAGAGATTCCAGTTATGCTAAGTTTTTTTGGTATTTTTAATTAACACATGAACACTTTTTACGCCACATCCATTACTAAGGACATGTTTTAACATGAACATACGCTATCTGCTTTCCAAGTTCTCCTGTAAGCTGTGCCCCCCCTTGCTTTCACTGAGCTCTGTTCAGCAGTGTCTTCTCCTGCAGCAGGAGGGCACTCCCCTTGGTTGCGTCTTTCCACGAACAGGAGGTGCTGCTCCAGGAAAAACCCCACAACAGTAAATACTGGAGAGAGAAAAAGCCCAGTTGTATCCTCAGTGGAACTGAAGTTACAGAACTTTCATCTTCCGTGACAAAACTCTCAGGTTAACAGCTCTTGCCAGGGATTTTGTCAAAAAGTCTTAATTTGGTGTGTCCCATATATCAGAGCTAACTTTAGCTAGCACTAGAAAGCATTTTACAGGACTGAACAGGACAAAACCTCAACATACTAACATATTAAAAAAACATCTATGCCGAGTCTTTTAGGAATAACTTTCATCTCCTAATTAATTTTCACTTATGACTTACATCTGTGCAAGTAAGCTCAGAATCAGACCTTGTATGTCTAACCTCAACATATTTTCAAGTTGTCCTTTAAACAATGATTAAAGGCCAGTTTTAGGTTATAGTCAATACTGGGTAGTAAAAGGCCAACAGTAGCATTTGACATTTTGTGAGGCAGTGCTCCTCAGTCAATTATTTAAAAGTATTGGTTATTAAATGCCACACATGTAGGTGATCTATATTTTCTCTCTTCTGTACCAGCCAGCCACCAACCATGCTGTCAGCTCACTGTGATGTGCTAAAACATATTAACCTTCCTTTGGCAGCATACACTGCCACCCTTTCTTAGCAGCGACCTCAGTGTCTAACACTATATAACTTCAACTTAGCTAGCCCAGGCTTTGCTACAGCCCCATGCATTCACCACACTTGAATTTCTCTACTGCTGCCATAAAAACAGATATGCTGTAGGCAAAAGTGACTGGACCTCACAAGCAACACAGCAACCAATTCAGTCACAAGTTCTGATCATGGTAATGAGGATCTGATAACCACAGCTGAGCAAAAACCCTGACAAGGACAAACACCTACCTTTTCAAACCTGAGCACTCTGAAACCTGCCACATTTTCAACACAATGCCAAGATGCTAAAAAACTTCCTCTAGTGTTTTACTTCATATAGAACATCTGATTATTAGTTTGATGTTGGCATTAGTCGGAGGAAGGAAAACGAATTTTCGTTGAAATGGGAAGAATAGGTTGGCGATGATCTTTTCTGCAGATCTATTTTTATATGAATGAGCATTTACATCATCTGCCCATCAGTGTTCTATTACTCAAAAAACTATCTCCTTGTCAATGAGCTTCCCCAGGTCCCCTGTAGCTCTGCTTGGGACATACCCAGTAGCTGCATGTATTTTGGAAAGCCAAGTGTGATTTAGTAGAGGCAAGAGGTTCACATTCAGTGAACTCCGCAAGATCAGTTATCTCAGGATAAATTATTACTAGCCAAACAACAAGCTGATTGCTTAAAGGGGTAACTTCATTCAGCCACTAACACTATGTGAGCATTGTCAGGCTATCGCACTGCACAGCTGTCCAGGTAATTACTTCTGTTCACCCTGCTACACTCTGTTCACTGGATACCCTGCCACTGAAGTATTTGTTCAGACTTCAAGCCCATAAGCTACTCCGACAAGCAGCACATGAATGGCCTTAATTAAGGTTATCTTTACTTACAACTACAAAGTACATATTGGAAGTGACTCACACATCTAACAAACAGCACATACCTCGTAATTACTCAGATATTCCTTTGAAGGCTGTTTTAGTAAGGGAGACCATGACAACACAGCCAAGTCTAAAGCAAAATTAAACTTCTACCTGGCTGCCCGCTAGAGATGCTAAAAATCTCCTCAGGTTAGCAACTTACTTTTTCGACAGGAAGACCTCTATCAAGACATCTACCACAAGGCTCTGACAAACGAACTCTGAGAAATCTAACAGCAGCAAAGACATCCCCCAGATATCCCTCCCTTACACCTCTTTTAGAGGTTTCTCTGCCTACCACAAAAATGGAAAAAACTATGTCCCCAACTATGCTTCAGATCTTCAGTTCAAACCCATTTTATCAGCACAGCAAGTCAATTTTCCTGCCCAGGAATACAAAAGTGAAGGCACAGAATCATACCTCATTCTTTCACACTTGCTCTTGGGTATTTTCCCCTCTAGCAGACACAGATAATTCACCCAGACCTCGTTTGGCAGAGTAGTTAATTTCAGCACAGACTGTGAACTTGTACTGAACTACTACATTTTAGCTTAGTCACACATAGCCTGATGGTACTGTGGCGATTTTGTTCCAGTTAATGATCTCTGATGACTGCTTCAGAGGTGCCAGCAAAAGGACTGAAAAACCCAAACCCGTAGCACTTCAGGAAGATAAAAGACTGTAGAAAAATGGCTGCATCTAATTATACGAGTTAAACCCTTGTGAAGAACTTCAGTTATGATAATATTTGAAAGTAAAATACAACCATACCACTTGTTTAGAGATGCGAATGCTACCTATTTTCAAGCTCATGATTCCCGGCCCAGAAGAACAGAAAAAAAATTCAAAATAAGGTTTAAAACAAGCACAAAAACCTGTTTATCAGAACAGAAATACATAGGCAAAGTTGGGTGGCAGTTCTTCATTAATTCTACGTTTGACTTTCTGTGCAATTTTGTCTTTTGTATTTAAAAATACTAACAAACTAAGGGGGGGGAAAAAAAAAAACAAACAAAAAAAAACACACAGTCACCAAATTCTGACCACACTGATCAAATGGAAGACTCACTTTCATCAATAAACAGCTGGATTCTTTAAAAAAAGAAAACACATTCTTGTTCTTCACCTGCCTGAGAAAATTTGAACCTAAAACTTGTATTAGTGCCTGAAGATAAAGATGTATCATACCGTGAGTAAAAGAAGGTAGGAAGTTTTTACATGCAAAAAAGTTGAATTAGCCCCACAGATCCATATGTTTTCACTTTAGGGATGTTTGAAAATGAAACCTGCATATACCACAGTGATATGCCACTAGAAATTCTGTCTATTTGTGCAACAAATAAATGAAATTTAAATAGTACTTTAACATATGGAATTTATCCTTCGAGTGAAGGGACAACCTTGGGAAAAATGTATTAAAAAAAAGGTGAGTGGGTATTCTCTTTTCACATGAAATATAGATCCAATGTGTCTGCTAAGTCTAAGTGTGCAATGTGTACAAGTTCAACAATGATTTCTGTTACAGCATATCCCATCTGTGTAACAGGAAACATCCCTGTATGTCACACAGCAAAATTATTCAGGTGACTGCAAACACCAGGGGCTAGTCTCTCACCTGATGTAAACGGCACATGTCTTTGATGTTAAAGGAGCCGTGCAAATTTACACCAGCTGCGCATGTGGCCCTAGCTGTGCGAACCACATATGCGTATAGTTTTATGGACTGAACCTGATTAATGAAAACCCTGCATGCATCAGACTTCTTTAAATTGCTTTAGAAGCCGTTTCGCTAGAAGTCAAGGGTGCAAATCTTTTGCCATCATGATACTCAACCTTACCAACTGTAAGCACAATACAGATAAAAACGCGTTCGATGAAGTTTTAGTAACAATACACAGTATCATATTCCTCAGCAGACAGCAATTTAAACAGTTTACACAAACCCTCATTCGAGTGAAAATTATCTCTGTACTTTATGGCTCCTAATAGCGATCGTACTTACCTCAGTAGCAATACAGCACAGCTCCTTCAAAATGTCTGAATATAGGAGCGCTGTAAAAAACCACTGATGTTTAAGCAAAAAGTGGTTCGGAAGTTTGTATTAACTGGTTGCTATAGCTGTTTTTAAGAGATGATCATCAGTGCTATACAATTAGGAACAGCTGAAAGCTTTGTTTCAGGTAGAACCAGGGCAGCTAAAAAAAAATCTGTCATTCTGAACTCCTAATAACCAGCCTTGACTAGATTTTCTGTAACTTTAAAAAAAGAAAGCAATAAAAGTAATATTAAATTTACCATCTTCAGAAACACTACATTTGTAGGAATACCCAGTCCATTGTGTCACATTCCTGACTCTATCCACTAACAGAGAATAAGCCAAATTACATATTTTGCGATATTGCCTCCTTTTATACCACAGGAAAAACTACCCGTTTCCGCAGTTTCCCAAAACACTGTTTGATATCCTCATCTCATTTGTCTAATCAATGTGTTTGTTAGGACTCCAGATCTGTACTTCAAACAAGAAAGCACTGCCAGCTTCAGTGGAATCCTGTGAAACTGCACTGTTACACTTACATGTTTTGTAGCACAGAACGACCTGCTTAAATACGTTCCTCATAATTATTTCCACTGTATTTTCTTCAGAATATACTGTAGAGCACAACTCACAATTGTATCACACCTGGCGTTCTGTAAAAACCTGGTTCAACATCTGACAGACAGGTGAAAAATTTAACCTCTTTACCTCTATTTTTTTTCCTCTCCCTTTCTATTACAGAAGTGCTAGAGTAGTTCTGTTTGTCCACCACACTATCAGATTTGGTGTAATATTACTGAAACTACTCTTTTACTCTACCAGCAGAGGGATCTTCAGAAGGAAAACTGAAAACTTCATGGGAATGAAAGCATCAGTCCAAGTTAATCCTAATTACAGTACTCAAGTAAAAAGTCATAAAAAATACATTTCAAACTTATACGGGCAACGCCTTGTGAGCAGCTGAATACACTTAATTGTCATTAACTCCATGAGCAGACTGCACCTCTCACAGCCTAGCTGAAGTATTCTCTATGCAGATAATCTCACCTCATTATGTATTTCTTCTACTTGCTTTATAACTGCAGTTTCCAGTGACTTCAGAGATAAAGCCATTGAATTTGACTCAATCTGTAAATTCTGGAGTGCCAGTTCACATTGTCCAAATATGTATTCCAATGTTCCTCTTGAGCACTATAAAAATACAATAAAAAATTTATATATAGCCACTTCAGAACATACATATTTCTCAAATATACCAAACTATTTGCTTCTGAAACAATCAAAGTGAAGGAGCAGAAGGGATGTATTTCCGTAACTTTATTTCATGATCTTTTGAACAAAAGCATAACGTCCCCTCGATTGTCGGTGTAGTTATTGATATAAATTATGCAAAAGTCTAATCCATCAAACTTCTAGCCAACCAGTACAGCATAGATGGAAAGGAGAAGGAAAAGAAGTCATTTTAAATTTACCTTACAAATATGCCATACACAAACACGGCCATATTTTCCATTGCTTCCTGGCCAGCTTTATGACAATATTGCAGAATCAGTTGCATTTGCCTGGTTGTCTGGGCTCCCAGTAACACTAAAATAGAGTTCTATGTCCAGTCTGAGAGAGCTATTTGCTTACAAGACATAGATAATATACACAAAACAAATTTACACTTCCACTTTTGTTTTCATTACATTTTCCTCAAGATTAGTAGGAAATACGTAAAAATCCTTTTGAAACAAAAGAAAGAAGACATCTACATATTTTAATTACTTTCAATTAAATATCTGTACCTTCAGTTAAATTTCCAGGAATAATCTTGAATAAGGACCCCTTGGTCTCATATTTTTCATAAACAAAATTTCCATACTATACAACTTCAACTCATAAATTTAAAAAAACCAAAGTATAATCACTTAATAGAGAAGCTTTTCACACTTTGAAAGTAAGTCTGTTACTTTTGCAGGAAAATGCAGACAGAAGCAGCACGTCAGACCACTCTTAAAAAGAGAGAAGAAAAATACAGAACTATTTGTTTTAAAATGTACAGTGTACTTGAGCTTTATGTCAAAGCCCAGTTCAAGCAAGCAAAGTGTATATTTGTTTGAAGAATAAAACCACCTTTTTTATATTACAACTTATATGTATGTATGTCTCCATGTTTCATGTATTGCCTCATTTCTATACATGTAGAAATTAGGAAGTGTAACAGAAAAAAAGAAGTATATGGATATATGCATCTATCGCTTCAATAGTGGTATATTTTGCCTTGATGAAGAAGAAAGTAGTGACTGTAATTGTTTAAAATATCTTTTTACAACACAGTATATTTTTATTTTTCTGTATGCTTTCCCATTAGAATACTACGTAAACAAAACTACTGACAATATCATGGAAAGGAACAGGGAGGTCTAGTAAAATAAAAAAGGTGTCTCAGCACTTAAGAATATCAGGCTGAAGCCTCAACACAACTCTGAGACAAGGGACTCTGTACCACCTTCCTGCTTCGGCAATCCTCAGATGCACAGAAGGATCCAATTTAAAACATCCTCATGACTGCCCTTAGTTATTCTGGCCTCCTAAAGGCCACATTTGCCAGTGGACACTGCTGACATACAAATTTTGAGTATTTCTATCCCATTGTGAATATTGTCTTTCAACTGGGACCAGGACACGAACACAGAAAAAAGTTTTAAAACACTTCAGGTAAAAAAATCAGTTGTTTTTACGTTTCTTCAGCAATCCATGAGGTGTGGTGTAGCACATTCGTAACACATATCGTCTATGCCTAACTGTGAGTTTAGGCAAACCACCAATACAGAAATAAGTGTACCTCAAACCAAAAATAAACAAATAGCAGTTGTTCACAAAAACAGTCCAAGTCTTAACTGTGAACCACAATTCTGGGTAAGACAACATGATGCTACATATACGGTACTAGAATATTAGTTTTATGCATGACCAAATAGCAAACCATTTTTGATACTTACATCTGCCACTCTGTGAGTTGAGCTGAATCGAGGTGAA